GGCACGAGGCCACCGTGGCAACCCTGAGGCGCAAACAGGCCGAGAGCGCGGCCGAGCTGGGGGAACAGGTGGACAGCCTGCAGCGGGTGCGGCAGAAGCTGGAGAAGGAAAAGAGCGAGCTACGCATGGAGGTGGATGACCTGGGCACCAGCGTGGAGACTCTGGCCCGTGGCAAGGTGTCTGCCTCCTTCCTGACCCCACCCTCTGACCTCATACCCATCCAGACTCCAGCAGGTGGCCCTACCCTTGACCTCTGGCCACCTCATGCTAATACTGACCCCACACCAGCTTGGAGCCTGAGTCCTGACCCATTAACCTGGCATCCGGCCCCCACCTCTCAGCCCCTACCAGTCCTGACCTCAAGCCCTGAACTCCTAGATCCTGGTCCCTGGCTCCACGTCATTTTTGACCCAACATCCAATTCTAATCTCAGACCCTTGACCCAACAGTAGTTGTGGCCCTAGCCCCTGACTCCTGAACTTTGACCTAATACCTATCCTGAACCCCAGCACCCAACCTTGATCCCTGATCTTCCTACCACCTAGTCCTGATAGCTGACCTCTGACCATTGTCCCAGGATGACTCCACAGCTATATCCTAACACTTACCCTGACCCACTGGCCTTGGGATTGGTCCAGCCCTCCAGGTTCTGACACCCACCTGTTAAGCCAGGAGCCCTGCAGTCGAGTTCCTGACCCTGAACTTGGTGCTCTGATCTCTCATTCCTGGGCCCATATCTAGCTTTCTAGTTCCCCATCCCAGGTCCCAGTCTCTGACTTGCAGCCCCAGATTCTGCCCTCTGATGCACAAACTTGACCTCTGACTCCTGACCTGGGACCCCAGGCCAGTGCAGAGAAGCTGTGCCGGACCTATGAGGATCAGCTAAGTGAGGCCAAGATCAAGGTGGAGGAGCTGCAGCGGCAGCTGGAGGATGCAAGCACCCAGCGAGGGCGGCTGCAGACTGAGAGTGGTGAGGCCGGGGGCTCAGCTGGGCCACCCCAGGCGGGGCCTTGGTGCTGCCCTCGCCTGCCTGACCTGCCCACTTGCCCCTTTGCCTGCAGGGGAGCTGAGCCGCCTGCTGGAGGAGAAGGAGTCTCTGATCAGCCAGCTGAGTCGTGGGAAGGCCTTGGCTGCCCAGAGCTTGGAGGAATTGCGGCGGCAGCTGGAGGAGGAGAGCAAGGTGGGCTGGCACTGGCGACTGCAGGGTGGGCAGGGGTACGCGGAGGCCATTGGCCTGGACCGATGCTGAGGTCACTGGGGTCCCTGCAGGCCAAGAGTGCGCTGGCCCACGCCGTGCAGGCTCTGCGGCACGACTGTGACCTCCTGCGGGAGCAGCACGAGGAGGAGGTGGAGGCCCAAGCTGAGCTGCAGCGGCTGCTGTCCAAAGCCAACGCCGAGGTGGCTCAGTGGAGGAGCAAGTATGAGGCAGACGCCATCCAGAGGACCGAGGAGCTGGAGGAGGCCAAGTGAGTGCCTTGCCGGCCAGGCTGTCGCCACGCAGAAGTTAACACCTGTGCCTCTGAGCCCTTTCAGGGGGTGCAGGGAGATGCTGGGGCTGTTCTGTTGGCCTCCCTCCCTCCCTACACAGTCCGCACCCTGTTTGGTCCCGTGGCCTAGAAAGAAGCTGGCGCTGCGGCTGCAGGAAGCAGAGGAGGGCGTAGAGGCCGCCAATGCCAAGTGCTCGTCGCTGGAGAAGGCCAAGCTGCGGCTGCAGACAGAGTCAGAGGATGTGACCCTGGAGCTGGAGCGGGCGACCTCAGCGGCTGCCGCACTGGACAAGAAGCAGCGACACTTGGAGCGGGCCCTGGAGGAACGGCGGCGCCAGGAGGAGGAGATGCAGCGGGAGCTGGAGGCGGCACAGAGGGAGGCCCGTGGCCTGGGCACTGAGCTCTTCCGGCTGCGGCACAGCCACGAAGAGGCACTCGAGGCCCTGGAGACGCTCAAGCGGGAGAACAAGAACCTGCAGGGTACGACGTGCTGCGCACCAGGGCCACGGAGTTGCTCTGGGGTCCAAGCACCTTGGAGTCACACTGGTGGGGCCATCCTGGAATTAGGGCTTGAGTGAAGTGACCTGGGTTGGAGCATGAGCCATGAGCTCAGTGCCTTGTCCACTCTGCAGAGGAGATCAGCGACCTCACAGACCAGGTCAGCCTCAGTGGGAAGAGCATCCAGGAACTGGAGAAAGCCAAAAAGGCACTAGAAGGGGAGAAGAGCGAGCTCCAGGCTGCACTGGAGGAGGCTGAGGTTAGGGGCTGGCCCCAGGGGCAGATGGACACTGACTGCTGGCCTCCCCTCCCTGAGCACCTGTTCCCAGCCCCGACCCCTGTACTGTCCGCTCTACCCCCAGGGGGCCCTGGAGCTGGAGGAGACCAAGACTCTGCGGATCCAGCTGGAGCTCTCCCAGGTCAAGGCTGAAGTGGACCGGAAGCTGGCGGAGAAAGACGAGGAGTGCACTAACCTGAGGTGTGTCCCTCCCTTCTCCCATCCCCGCCTCCTGCAAGCAGGAGAAGGGGAAGCAGCATGTGTTGCCTCCAGCTGTGTGCGTGGGGCTGGCACAGACATCTAGTCTGCTCCTCCCACGTGACTTTCTCAGGTCTGGGTTGTCCCCATTCTAGTGGTGAATCTCAGAGAAGCTAAAGGACTTGTCCAAGGTCACAGTAGGGCAGAGTCAATGTGTCTGTCTGCCTCTGAGCCTCACTCTTGTCCATGAACTTGCTGTGAGGGGCAACAGGCAGTCACAAGGGGCTTTAAACCAGGAAGGGATGACTCATTTGTTCCCACAATGAGTTCCTGTCTCCGATGGTCCTTGGGTGTTTTTAAGAGCAGGTGTGGTGCCTGCACCTGTACCCCTCTTGCAGGCTGCAACCCCTCTTTTCATGCTGCCCTCCCGTAGGCGCAACCACCAGCGGGCAGTGGAGTCCCTGCAGGCCTCCCTGGACGCTGAGACCCGGGCCCGCAACGAGGCACTGAGGCTCAAGAAGAAAATGGAGGGTGACCTCAATGACCTGGAGCTGCAGCTGGGCCATGCTACCCGTCAGGCCACGGAGGCCCAGGCGGCCACACGGCTGCTGCAGGCGCAGCTGAAGGAGGAGCAGGCAGGGCGGGATGAGGAGCAGCGGCTGGCAGCTGAGCTCCGAGAGCAGGCGCAGGCCCTGGAGCGCCGGGCTGCGCTGCTGGCTGCTGAGCTGGAGGAGCTGCGGGCTGCTCTGGAGCAGGGCGAGCGCAGCCGGCGGCTGGCGGAGCAGGAATTGTTGGAGGCCACCGAGCGCCTCAACCTTCTGCATTCACAGGTGGGGACAGGGGTCCACAGGGACGGGCATGTCACAGGCCTGTGGGCCAGCTCTGAGACTCTGCTTCTCTCCAGAACACAGGCCTCCTGAACCAGAAGAAGAAGCTCGAGGCGGATTTGGCCCAGCTGAGTGGGGAGGTGGAGGAGGCTGCCCAGGAGAGGCGGGAGGCAGAGGAGAAGGCCAAAAAGGCCATCACCGATGTGAGCCTGGGCCGGGGGCAGAGCCCAGAACTTCCCCTGGGGCTGGTCACCTCCTGACCATGCCACCTCATCTCCCACAGGCCGCCATGATGGCTGAGGAGCTGAAGAAGGAGCAGGACACAAGTGCACACCTGGAACGGATGAAGAAGACACTGGAACAGACGGTGCGGGAGCTCCAGGCCCGGCTTGAGGAGGCTGAACAGGCTGCCCTCCGCGGTGGGAAGAAGCAGGTGCAGAAGCTGGAAGCCAAGGTGTGTGTGGCCCCTCCAGTCCTTTCCACCGGTGGGTGGGCTGCCCATGGCAGGCTCTTGCACCAGGCCCACCCCCGTCGTCCGCAGGTGCGGGAGCTGGAGGCCGAGCTGGACGCGGAGCAGAAGAAGCATGCCGAGGCCCTCAAGGGGGTGCGCAAGCATGAGCGCCGGGTCAAGGAGCTTGCGTACCAGGTGGGTGACAGGGTCCCCCTTGGGGTGGGGGGCAGTCCTAGAGTTGGCCCAGTCCAAGCAAGCCCTGAGTCCCCTTTGCCTGCACAGGCTGAGGAGGACAGGAAGAACCTGGCTCGCATGCAGGACCTGGTGGAAAAGCTGCAGAGTAAGGTCAAGAGCTACAAGCGCCAGTTCGAGGAGGCGGTGAGTGCACTGGGTCAGGGCACCAGGGGCCAGTCAGCACGCCCGGGCTGATCCGGCTTCAACTGCGGCCCCATCTGTGGCCAGGTGAGGCCCCAGAAGCAGGCTGCCCAAAAGGTGGCAGCTCGCTCTCCCAGTGGGAAGACACATTTCTAACAGCTCCTGGAAGAGACTAGCCCTTGCTGTCTCTCAGGACAGACCCACGTGCTTTCCCCTTGCCAGGGCTGGCCTCTGATGGGCCAGCTTGGCCCACAGGTACCTCCTGAAGGAGTGTCCCAAATTCCTGCTGTGGGTACAGTGAGGAGGGAGAATGGTGGTAGGAACCGAGCTGAAGCTGAGGAGAAACCAGCTTGCTTCTGGGCATGGGGTGGGAACCGGCATGAGCACCTCAGCTTCCCAAAGGGGAACCCAGGCCCCATGTGTACCCTCAGGAGCAGCAGGCCAACACCAACCTGGCCAAGTATCGCAAGGCCCAGCACGAGCTGGATGATGCGGAGGAGCGGGCAGACATGGCCGAGACCCAGGCCAACAAGCTGCGGGCACGGACCCGAGATGCCCTGGGCCCCAAGGTGAGGGATGGGGTACCCCACCCTCTGCATGGAGGGGCGACAGGGGGTACAGCTCACTCCGCCATCCCTCTCCCCTAAGGAGTGACGGCCTGAACTCTAAGCCCCCCGGCTCTGCAGAGGGACGTCTGCTGTTTGCCCCTCCAGCTGAGGCCACCCACCTTGATCCTGTCATCTCTTCATCCCCATCTGCTGACCTCAGCACACCCTGAATGAATGCCACAGTTGCAGCCAGTGTCCTTCTCATTCTTTGTGTGTTCCTTTCCCCTTCCTGAACCCTAGTCTCAGGGACAAAAGTCAGGTCCACAGCAGTCATTTAAAATAAAGTTCTTTAATAGTCTCCATTTACTGGGTTTATTTGCTGTTAATAAATTGGCAACACAAGGAGGGGCCAAGGGTGAGCTACCAGCCAGGCTCCTGTATCGGGGCTCAGGCAGATGCTACCCAGGGGTGGGGCAGGGCAGGCACAGCTACCCTGTGCCCCATGAGCAAACAAAACCGGAGGAGCTAAAGGAAAATGAGGGGGTCTGGGGAGGGGCAGGCTTGGGGGAAGGCAGCATTCTCTGGTACCCCCCACCCCTGCCCAGGGCTCAGAAGCTTCTGCCTGGGTCCACAGGCCAGGAATAGGGCAGGGCTTGGCTCACAGATTTGGGGGAGTGCCCATATCCTCCTCCCCAGCCTGGGACTGACAGCCAAGAGACTGGGCAGGAGCTCAGACAGAGCTAATGTTAAAAGTCCTCCTATCGCTGGGTGGGCCAGGGCCCCAGGATTCTGAAGGAAGGGTGAGCATGGTACCCTTGTCCTTATCATGGGGACTGTGAGGGAACTGAGGCTTCCACATGACCCGGGCCCTCAGACCCCGTGGCCAAGGGCTTCCAGGACACTCTCCCACCAAGCCTGTACCTGAAGACCTGGGGCCGGCAGAGAGCAGCATGGGGGCAGGGGAAGGATGGAACAGACCAGGGCGTGTGGCATCGTACCCACGCTCACCCACACTGGCCCAGCAGCCTCCCGAGGCCTGGCCCAAGGTCACTCCTCGGTGAAGTCCCTGTCTATGTCCATGTAGGGCTCCTCGATGTAGCTAACAAGGGCAGAGGGTGACTGGCGGTCTGGGTTCAACAGGATGGACACCGTCTCCTTCCAGTATGAGAAGCTGATGCAGGAGCTCTGGGCAAAGAGGGAGGGGCTGGGGGGTGCCTGGAAGACCCAGGTCGAGCCCGGCACCCCACGGGGAGGGCCTTGGTAAGGGGAAAAAGAGCCACCTGCCACGGCCCAGGCAGGGACCACGCACCCTGGATGCCCCTCTGAAGGGCCCTGGGTCTGCGTGCCCACTGCCCACCCACCACCCACTCGGGGTGGGGCACTCACGTTCTCCAGACAGGTGCTGTCCTTGTCCTTGTGCAGGTAATGCTGCTGCCAAAAGCGCAGCAGGTTGTGGAAGTTGTTGAGTAGGAAGCCGGGGTACTTCTTGCTGTGCTCCATCCGCTGCAGCAGCCGCAGGTACAGAGGCAGCCGCTCTTTCCGCCGGGCCAGCATCAGGATCACCAGGCTGGTGTTGAGGCAGCTGACGTTCTCCTGCAAGGCCGTAGACCAGCTGGGGTTAGGTACCTGCTGGTGAACCTGGGCAGCCACCGGGAGGGGGGAGAGGTGCCCCAGGCCTGGCCCTGCAGGGTCCTGGTTGAGTCCATGGGCCACCCACTGAGCTGCCCCTGCACAGGCCTGAGACAGTACCGGGGGGAGGGGGCATGGCAACATCACCAGCATCCTGTCTGAGCACCTGCCTCTTCCCTACTCCCACCCACCCCCACCTCGATGGCAACAATATCTGTCCTCATCCAGATCTTGGCTCAGGCATCACTTTATCCAGGAGGTTCGATCCCCGGGCAGGGCGGTTCAGGTGGCGGCGGCAGTTATCTCACTTCAGAACTTTCATTCAGCACTAGACTGTGAGCTCCGGGAGGGCAGAGTCTCAGTCTGCACTGTTCACTGCACACCTCCCCGGGGCCTCGCCTCAATAAACGTTTGTCAGCCGACAGCACAAAAGAACCGCCTGAGAGAGGCACCAGTATTACCCCCATTTTAGAAAAGAGGGGTTTGAAGCTTGGAGAAGGAAAGGCTGCACAACTACCTAGAGAGGGAGTTGGGAGGCAATCTCAGGCCCAGTTCCAGAGCCTGGCACAGGAGGGGCAAGGGACGTGGGACGTGGGGAAGAGCACTGGCCTTGGAGCCAGCAGAACGTAGCGCACTCTCGACTGTGCCCTGACGGAGTCTGTGACTTGAGGAGACTTGCTACCCCTCCTAGGCCCCATCTGACTCCCTATGGCAAAGTCCTCACAAGAGCTGCGTCTCAGGAGAGGCACTGCTAGAGTGAGGGTGGGAGATACAAGCCTGCTGCGCTCCCGGACGAGGAAAATGGTTTCCAGTCTACCTTTCCTGTTGCCCATCTGCCAGGGCCTCTCACCTGGGTCAGCGTCTGCACGTGGATGATGTTGATGAGGCGGAAGAGGAAGGACATCTGCGTGGGCACCTGGGATATGTAGGCGAGCAGGCGGCACTCGGACAGGACCTCGGCAACTGTGGAGGGAGGGGGAGGTGAGCGCGGCAGGCTCAGGCCCAGTGGCCGGGCTGCCCCCACCTCAGTTGAGCAACTCCCCCTGCCCCCCACACTCGGAAGCTGGGAGCCCCCCACTGTCAAAAGCACCACAACAGCAGGAACAGGCCATCTCCAGCTGTTCCGCCATCAGGCCAAGCCCGAGTTTTCCTCAGAGCTGCCCCAGGAGCTCCCCGCTCCCCCAGAACCGTGCTTGGGGGCAAATCTCCCTCAGCCCTCCCCGCCCGGCTCCGGAGCCTGGCTCTCCGTATCACACGCAGCAGTTTCCTTGACAGGAAGATGGGCTGACGACACTAAATTAAGGAAAACAACGAAAGAGTTCGAATTGTCTCCCAGAGCCCGTATCGAGACTGGTTCCCCACACCAGCTCTCAGGCCACTGTCGGGGTCATAGTGGCACAGGCTCCACTCCTGCCACTAGTGTCCGGGCAACCCGCTGTCCACGCTACTGGGAGGTAGGGCAACAGCTGCAGGTACCAAATGAAACAGACCCTTTGGGGCAGAAAAAGGAGGCAAATGGCTAAATTACTAAATGACCAGGATACTTCTTACTATCAACGACACTGTGACAAAGGACGAGTGTCTAACTTTATGGGGGGGGTCACAAACCCTTGTGAGAATCTGCTGGATGCCACAGACCCTCTCCCAAGGCCAACAGCACACGTGTGCATACAGACACGGACAGGCGCGAGCATTCCAGGGAGCTCAGACGTCCCCACCGCGCCACACTGCACACGCAACACAGCGCACAGGAGACTGCAGAGAACGGGTCTGACTCGCCCCGGCAACCCCAGCCCAGAAGAGGAAGGTGCTTTTCTGGTTTGTTTTTTGCCTTTTGCTGGCAACAATGGTTTTTTTTTTACTTTATTAAAATGTACATTGTCACTAAAGGAAGCATGAACAGTAGAGAAAAGTCAAAGCAGCAAAGCAAATCACCCACAGAGCCGCCACCTAGGAACCGGCCACGGGGCCGTCTGGGTGTAGCTCCTCAGTCTTTCTCATCTTCTTGCTGGAGGCCGGGGTCCCACGCCAGCACGGTCGCACCGCGCTGACTCACCTTGGCAGCCTTTTCCTTCCTTACCTTTCATGTCCACCTGGTTTTCAAATCGGTCTAGCGACAGAGTGACACAGCGCACCAGCATGTTGGAGTCCACCAGGGAGCTGTTAATCTGCTTCAGGAACACCTGGAACTGCAGCAGAGAGTGAGCTCACGGGGGCCGCGGGCTGCAGGCCTGAGACAGCTATGGCCCAGGGCAGGCAGTCACTCTGAGGGGCACTGATGATCTCCCCCAGCCCTGCTGCTTTGCAGTAGGAAGATGGAGACTCAGACAGGCTGAGTGAACTGCCCTCACCGTCCAGCTACCAAGCAAAACCACCAGGAGCTCAGCCCACATCTTCTCACACTCTGTCCAGTGGTTTTACTTGGAAGAGTGCTGGACTCCTCTAATTTTTACTTCAACTAGTCTGAGTTAGGTTTCTGTCATGCACACCCCTGCAAGCCTAAAATGCCAGGCTCAGTCCCTGCCTCCAGGGGCTCCCACCACGGCACCCACCACACAGCATCGTGGCAGCTGCACGCCCCGCCCAGCCTCACTCCCTGCTCACAAGCAGCTCAGGTTTTCATCCCTGTATTCCTAGGGTCTAGCACAGTGCCCGGCACACAGTAGGTGCTAATGAATGTTGGCTGACTGCCCACTGACTCCCCAGTATTCTCTAATTTAAAACCTGCACCTCAAGACTGGCAGACCAGGACTCCACGGTAACTTTTAGACAATCCAGCACACTCCATGGAGTCCAGGTTAACTTTACCTTTGCATCAGTGTTGATATATTTATTGAATCTCTTGAATGCATCAACATTGAACTTCATCAGCTCCCCTAGGAGGTCGAAGTAACTCTGAAGCACATCCCTTGACTTGCACTCGCTGTCCACAATGCAGTACAGGATGTGCTGGGGGTGAGGAGGGGACAGGGTGAAGGTGTGAATGTGGCTGCTCCCCACTTGCCTCCCACCAGGGCCTGGCACGGAGTCGGATCACACATTTGATCTGAGCAAGCATCCAGGTGGATGGAACCCGCCACTCTCTCTAGATTCTTGTCTGAGGAAACGGATGGCTCTAAGGACAGGGCTAGGCCCCACTAACCTCGCCAGGAAGGGAAGCAGGCTGGGTGCACAGCGCAATCTCTCTTACTTGCTCAGGGCTCAGAGCTGAAGCCTCTGACCCGCTCTGTGGTCACCAAGATGCCCGAGGCTCTCCAGGCCTACCAGTGGCCACTGCCCATGCACTGAAGCCATTTGAGTACAGGAAGGACACAGTTTAAGGGCAAATGACACATTCTGACCCTATGGTTTGCCTTTGTGTTTATGAATAAAATTGTTTAAAGTTTACACCAAAGTCAATTTTTATCAAGAACATAAAGCCAATTTAACTCCTTGAAAAAGTTTTCTACGACAGTTAAACTGTTTCTAATATTTTTCATTTTCTTGAAGTTACATTGATTTGGATCAATTCTTTCCCATATAGATTTTATAATGATTCATGGGTTAGTTTCTTGTCCATATCACATTTTTTTAAAAAATCAATGAATACTTCGGTCATTTTGCTCCCCACTTTTGTAAATTTTGCTTTTTCTGAAGGCCATTATTCAATAAAGGAAAATTAACTTTTAGTCAGTATCAAAATATCCTCAGGGTCAAAAGGCCTTGCTGGGTAACTCTAGATTCTGCCCCCCCCCACCCTGGCCCCCATACAGCCACTCCCTAAGCCCCTCAGTCACCCCTTAAGCACACGGGGAACCCACAGTTGGAAACTGCAGGGCCACCACAGGGCAATCTGCACCGGCACTGAAACATCCCAAGATGTGGTCTGCTCCTGATGGCTGTTTAGGGCTCAGGACAGGACAGCTGCGCATGGGGTTGCGGGGAGATGGACACCAACACCCTGGCTCCTCCGGGCCGTACCTCCAGAAGGCCTCGCTTCAGCAGGAACATCTGGTCTGCATAGGAGGTGGTCCCTCGGAGGAAACTTTCCACAGCTCGGGCTTGCCAAAACCTACAACCCAAATGTCGATCCCTGGCCGAGTGGCTAAGGCTGCCTTCTTCTGGCCCATGTTCAATTCCCCAAGGGGTTGGGAGATGTTTGCTGCCTTTTCATTTACTCCACAGACATTTCCTGTATGTCTGCCAAGCATTGGGCCTCATCCTAGGCATTGGGGACACAGCAGTGAGCAAGAGAATCCCCAGCCTCATGGAGTTGACAGCTCAATGGGGAACAGATGCCTGTTTGGCTCTGTCTGAAAGGGGATGTGTGGCAGAGCAGGTGGCATCTAGGGTCAAAGGGTTGGCTCCAGAGAGTCCCATGTGAAAACACTCAAGGCTGTGTCCTTTCAGAAGAATTCTTCATGGAACTGAGGGGCTAGGAACTTGTGAAAGAAGATGACATATGTGTGGACAGGCCACTGAGCTCACATGTGATGGGATGGCCTAGAGAAGAGGTGGCTGATGTTGACTGAGTGGCCCAGAGGGTGGAAGTAACGAGGGCTCACGTGGGCACGGAGCCTCTTGACAGCTCCCACCGGCCCTGGTAGAATTCCTCCTGTGTACAGCCTTCAAGACTGATCCCAGGGGAGTCTGAGGAACTCTGAGAAGGCCTCCCCGTCCACGCCTACCCCGCCAGCCCCCAACAGGGGAAGGGCTTTCCTTTGCTCCCACAGCTCCTGGGGCTCCATTCCTTTCCACAGGCATTGAAACAGGTTTCTGTCCATGCGTATTTCCCACAACCCCAGGGAATTCCACGTGGGCAGGTCCTGTACCCCAGTTCTCTTCCACCTGCCCAGTGCCGGCACAGAACAGGTGCTGGTGAATGCCGGGTCCCTGGCACCCAGCGGCGGCTCACACGTACCTGCCAAGTCAACACGAAGGATAGGTGGCAGTCAAACCACTTCTCCCCAGCAGTGACTGCACCTCAGAGGTGGACACTGGGGACTAAAGGAGGTATTTCTAACCACTTGAGAAACACTTAGCTCCTCAGAAGTGGCAGGTACCTGTCCCCAGACCCACCTGAAAGATGACTCGGCTGGCTCCTTCTTCATGACCTGCAGCAGCCGGGTTAATAAGCCTCTCTTCCCATCACACACCAAACTCCTGAAATAAAAAGACAGGGACAGATCTGAGAGGCTGACAGGAGCCTTGGGGCTGGGTCACTCAGTTGGCTTAGGTGGGTGAAAAACCATGGGGACATTTCCAAGTCTGCAGGATGCCTTCCCGCTCCACCTGGGTCCAGACCCGCCAGACCCTGCAGTCACAGAACCGAACAGTCCAGTGCACTCCCGCTGCCTCTCAGGCCAGAAACACCCAGGGTCAGACAGGGCTCAGGACTGCTAGGGGGAGACTGTTTATACCAAAAGTGGGTTTGAAATAAGTCATGGCAGTCTGCCAGAGGGGGCAAAGTCTGTGCCAACAGGGTGGGGCCCAGGGTACTCCCTGCCCAAGGTTCAGTTCCAGCTGGGCCTTGGGCAAGTACCCGAGCCTCCAGGCCTCAGCTCCCTGGTCCATGAAGCAAAGGCAGTAGGTGAGGAAATGACTCAGGTCCCACCAGCGGGGAGGAAGACAGCCAAGCAGGCAGGGCTCTGGGCCCTTAAACCCCCTGCTCAAACAGAGCAGCTCTACTTTTGTCCACTATAGACATCAAGGCAGGACCGTGTATAATTTCATTCGAAGGAAGAGTTCTGCTGCCTTAAAAAAAAACAAAACAAAAAGGTTGGGAAAGTATGACTCCTGTTGCTGGATAAAGTCCACCCTATTCTGACTCCCGTGAGCCTGTCACCTCATTGTCCTGCTCCAGAAGACGAGGCAAACACAGCCCAGGTAACTGTACTTAACTATTGGCACAGGGTGAGGGGCTTGCATGCCTGCCTTGCTTGGCTACAGCTGCCACCAGGCAAGAAAGGGCACACCAGCAAAAGTGCTGTGTGCACGTGACAAGGGGAGGGGGGCAGAGCACAGATGACTTGTGGCAGGTGATGTCTCTGAGCCTCTGCTCCCTCTTCTGTCAAGTGGAGGTGATGATGGCACTTCCCTCCCAGGGCTGCTATGACATGCAACAAGAAAATGTAGGTGACGTGAGCACAGTGTCTGGCACACAGAAGCCCTCGGGACATTACAGCTACACGTGAGTGAGAAAGGACAGGTACACACACCTGCGTGCACCCATCTGGGAGCCCCGGGCACCGGGGTAGCCAGGGTGGGCTGTGGGTCAAAGCCGCACCCCACCGCGCTCACCTGTCGGTGTTGAGGACGGCTTCCACCTCGGGGATGTTGGCCTTCAGAGAGATGGCGCTGAGTTCGTTCAGCTCCTGGTTGTTGAGCAGCAGGTACTTGTTCCTGAAAAAAACGGGTTGCAGGAGATAAAGGATAAGAAGTGGGGCTGCCAGGCCAGCACTGGGCTAGTGCAGTGAGTCTCTTGCCCATTTCCTGCGGAAAGAGAGAATCTGAGAAGCCACCAGGCACCTTCCCCTGTACCTCTCACCTGAGCCATCATCTGCAGGAGAAAACTCCCAGGCTATGGAATCTCTCCCTGCCCCAAGCCCCATCCCCCTGCCTGCCACGTTCACTAATGAGGCGCCTTCCCTGGGCATCTCCAGGCTTTCCTTTGGCCAACTGAACGTTTCTATCTGCTGTCTCCGAGGCACCTGCCCTCAACATGTCCAGTCATACTCACAGTTCCTCTCAAGCCTGGCCCTGCTGCTGCAGTGCCACCAGCTGCCACAGTCACAAAAGCAGAGGCCTGGTCAGCTGTGACACTCCCTCCCCCACTTGCCATCTAGGTTTTCCACTGCTGGGTCCTGTGCTCCCAGGTCACCAGCTCCCTAAATAGTCTCCCATAGGAACCGAGTCCTCACACAGCACCCAGAATGATCTTCACAAACAGGACTCTGATCCCGTAACTCAGGTTGACAATGATTCCACAGCTTCCCACTGCTTTTAGAACACAGATGCTGCTTGTTTTTTTAATTGAGACAGAGTCTTGTTCTGTCAACCCAGGCTAGAGGGCAGCAGCAACATCATAGCTCACTGTAACCTCAAATTCTTGGGCTCAAGCAATCCTGCCTCAGTCTACCAAGCGGCTGGAACTATAGGCGCAAGCCACCACACCTGGCTAATTTTTTCTATTTTTTTTTTTTTAGTAAAGACGGGGTCTCACTCTTGCTCAGGCTGGTCTCGAACTGCTGAGCTCAAGCAGTCCTTCTGTCTCTGCCCCTTGGAGTGCTAGGATTACAGGCGTGAACCACCACAACCAGCCCTTGACTTACGAGGACTTCATGTCCCAATAAACCTGTTAGGTCGAAAATATAGTTTAAATTGAACAGGTGTTTAATACACCTAACCTAATGAACATTCTACTTAGCCTAGCCTACCTTGAACATGCCTGAAACACTTACATTAGCCTACAGTCCGGCAAAATCATCTGGCAAACAGTACACCACAGGGCTGTCTGTCCTTGTAATGACAACTGAGTGGCTGACCAGGAGCTGCAGCTCATTGGCCAGCACTGCAAGACAGTATCATACTGCATATCACTAGCCCAGGTACACATCGAAATTCAAAATTCTACTTTTGCACCACCGTCAAGTTGAAAAATCACAAGTCAAACCATCATAAGTCAGGGAGCGTTAATATGGACAATCCAGGTCTGTGAACATATGCCCTGAGCCGAGCCCACATCACCCCATTATCTGGCCATACTGGCTTTCCCTCCTTCAGGGCCTACAACACTCACCCTCTCACGCTGCCTGTCTACCCAACTTACTCCAACTTACCCTTCAGGCCTCAGCTGACAAGTCGCTCCTGTAGGGGAGAGTTCCTGAGCACCCTCTGGCCAGTTCTGGACCCTGTCAAATGTCTTCTCAAACCCCACGCTAATATCCTCTAACAGACTCTGCTCCTTCCCTCCTCAGTGCCATCTCCATTTGTCACCATTCGCTCAGTGTGGAATCCTCTGATGCATGGCTGTCCCCATACCATGCTGTGCCCTTCCTGAGAGTGAGGACCATGGTGATTTTCATCATCACTGTATCCCCAAGGCCTGGTCCATAGAAATGCTCAGATTTAACAGTCTGATGAAAGTTAGGGACCCACCTCCTCAGGAAAAAAAGTATACTTCCATGACCTATTGGTGCTATTTCCCAGAAAGTTCACATACTTCTGGGAGCCTTTCTACCGCTTTTTGCCAGGGAACCTCTCAAAGAGGATGGTCACGCATGATAGAGAGGGAAGTTGGAAAGTAGAGGCCCCTGGGGCAACATTTGTCCTCAGGCACATTTTGTTAGCTCATACGATGTTTTAAGAGAATTTAAACTGACATTTAAAAATCAGGACCTTTCACATTAATCTTTTTAAGACAGAGTCTCGCTCTGTTGCCCGGGCTAGAGTGCCGTGGCGTCAGCCTAGCTCACAGCAACCTCAAACTCCTGGGCTCAAGCGATCCTTCTGCCTCAGCCTCCTGAGTAGCTGGGACTACAGGCATGCGCCACTATGCCCGGCTAGTTTTTTCTATATATATATTTTAATTGTCCAGCTAATTTCTTTCTATTTTTAGTAGAGACGGGGTCTTGCTCTTGCTCAGGCTGGTCTTGAACTCCTGAGCTCAAACGATCCGCCTGCCTATGCCTCCCAGAGTGCTAGGATTACAGGTGTGAGCCACCATGCCCGGCCCTTTCACATAAATCTTAATTTCTGGTTTTCCCTGGGAGAAAAAAAGCAGAAGCTACTTAACAGTGGGCCCAGTTTCCTGCACGCCCGCAGCTTGGTGGAGCTGAGCAGTGGTGGCCTGGGCCTGCCGTTCTGGCTCACTAAGGTCCCTTCCCTAGCAATTCGTTTCCCCGGTGCCAATGCCAAGTGTTAGCTGGTCACCCCTCCCCTGCGCAGCTTTCCTCATGGCGGACAATGTATACTTTCCTGTACATTCTTCACTGAAGGCTGAAAAATAAAAAATGAGAGGGCAGAGTGTATTCCACAAAAAAAAAAAAAAATAAGGGAGAGAGCTCATCTCCCGGGGAGGTGAAGAATCCCTGTCTGTGCGGTAAGTACTCAGCCGGCCTTGCCTGAGGTTCCTGCCGGGCCCTGGGAATAGCCAAGCCTCCACTCCTGCTTCCAAGGATGGCAGACAGATGTGGCGATTCCAGGGGTAATAAGGGGCCAATCACCCTGTGCCGACTTCCCACGGTGGCTGTGAGGGCTGGGGAAAAGCTTGGCACAGTGCCGGGCACAAAGGAAGGGCCGGACAAACAGCAGCTCCTATTGCAGTGTCATGAAGTGCAGTCACACATGCTAACACTGAGGGGACAGTGGGCTTTCAGCAGCTCCAGGTCCTCCTCTTGGGCTGAGGTCAGTGACCAGACAAGGAAAGACAGGCCTTTGGGTGACAGCCCAACAACTCTCCTTGCAGGGACGTGCTTGTACTTACTCGTGGTGGTCGCTGAAGCTCTGGAGAAGCCTCAAAAACTGTATCTTCAAGGTGATGTCCTAAAATACACGTGTATCCTCAATGTTAAATCACAGTACCAACGTTCCCATATAAAACAAGGCAGACTCTCTGGAGATAGTCTGCTTCTCTGTCCTCATGCACAATGAGGACTTTTATTTAGTTAGAAATCCATTTGTTGACTTCCACATTCTGGCCAACAACAGATTAAGCTAATGTGGACCCTTCCTGCTAAAAATACCCAAGCATACTAGATAAAAAATCATCGAAATTCTTTCAAATGTGAAGCTAAGTTTATAGGAAAGAAAGGGAAGTATGCAGGAATGAGAAACGAAGAAAGGACTGAGTAGGGGAGCACTGAGCCTAGAAGCTGACGCTCGGAGCTGTGGCTGTGTGGAGCAGTGGAAATGAGACTTGGTCACACCAGGGCGTGGGTTGTAATGCCCTGCAGAACCTGACAGAGCCTTGGGCCTGCATATGCCTGGTGAAAGAAGGGTTCGAAAGACCCAATCTACTGGCCCAGGGAACTGGCTTCAAGAAGTCTGGCTTCCCTAGGGCACTGCTGGCAGCTGGAGGGGAGTCTCCCAGAAGCAGAAACCCTGGGCTCACACTACCAGAGCATCAGGGCCAAGACATTAAACATGGAAACTAGCCCTGGGACACCTGTACCCTTGAAGTACTCGCCAGACAAAAGCAAAAGTGCCCTGTAGAAGTGCTTCACAGGCTAAGGCTACACAGGTGCCTAAAAAGAAAACAAGCCCCACTAAAGGTGGCCTCTCCATAAACATCACAAAACACGAGGCGACACTCTACCCTAAGTGTCTGAAGTCCCAAACACAAGCATTAGTACCCATGAGCAAATGAAAGAGACCATAAGAAAGTATGTTACAAATGATTGAAGAAATAACATACAACAGAAAGAAGACGTCAACATAATGAACAAAGACCAAGAAATTTTTCAACAGAGCCAGATAGAATGTCTAGAAATGCAAAATATATTCACTTGAAATTAAAAACGCAAATGGAGCTGGGTGCGGTGCCCTATGTTTGTAATCTCAGCTACTTGGGAGGCTGAGGCAAAAACTCAGATGGATGGACTGAAAGGCAAATCTGATAAGGTCAGAGAAGATGGAAAGACGAAGGCAAGGCACTGAGGAAAGTGCCTAGAACGCAGCACGGAGACCAGGGGCCCTGGTGCTTTCCTGCTCATGCTGGTGGGCGGGTCTGACAGGCCAGGGAGGCCGGCGGGCACAGGAATATTTTCCTCCTTTGGCAAGAAAAAATAAGCTCAGAGATTCAGTGACTTATTCAAGCTCTCCCAACAGGCTGAGTGGCACCAGGCCTTCTGACGCCAGGTTCAGAGCTCTCTCTAGGGCACTGAGAGAGACACAAGGTAGAGGCAAGTCCTTGGCCTCAAAAAACTGAAGCATCCCAAAGTGCTCTTTTGATGCAGACCCTCGGTGGTGTGTGGTTCTAGGAGGCAAATCTAGTATCAGTGGTTGTAAATTACAAAGGGATAGAACACCAAATAAGGAAAAAAACTTGCTGCTAGCTAATGGAATGGGTAGCCCTGCCTATAGGGAAGCAAGATCGCCATCCCAGAGTTGTACAAGGGGAGTGTATAACTTTTTTTTTTTTTTTTTAAGAGACATGGTGTTGCTCGGACACCCAGGCTAACGTACAGTGGTGTGACCATAGCTCAAACTATGTAGTCTCAAACTCCTGGGCTCTAACAATCCTTCCGCCTCAGCCTCCCAAGTAGCTGGGACTACAGGTGCATACCACCACACCTGGCTGATTTTTAAATTTTCTTTTGTAGACGGGGTAATCTTTTTTTTTTTTTGAGACAGAGTCTGGCTCTGTTGCCCGGGCTAGAGTGCTGTGGCGTCAGCCTAGCTCACAGCAACCTCAAACTCCTGGGCTCAAGCGATCCTCCTGCCTCAGCCTCCCGGGTAGCTGGGACTACAGGCATGCGCCACTATGCCCGGCTAATTTTTTCTATATATTTTTAGTTGTCCTGCTAATTTCTTTCTATTTTTAGTAGAGATGGGGTCTCACTCTTGCTCAGGCTGGTCTCGAACTCCTGAGCTCAAACGATCCTCCCGCCTCGGCCTCCCAGAGAGCTAGGATTACAGGCGTGAGCCATTGCACCCGGCAGAGAAGGGGTAATCTTATAAAACAGGATTTTTGCATAGGGAGTTTAGCATAGGGTTGGCTCGGACCCTCCCCCAAGGTAGCTTCCAATTACGGATTGTAAAATGTGACTTTTAGTTTCTGCTCTACTCTCAAAGAACAAGAGGTCAAAGGGTCAGCAACAGGTCTTGAAACAACTACTCCTAGCAAGTCAAGCCCCATCTGTCCCCAGGTTCTTTTGCTTACCGGGCTACAGTCACAATTCTGGTTGTGACCGTGGAGAACAAGGGCAGATGCTGAGTGCTTCCTCCAAATCAGCTTGTCAAACAAATTATTGAGCCCAGGGATCAGCTTGAACTCTGCAATCATTCTGTGAACCTGGATGGGGAAGGAAGGGAAAGGCATTGAGACAAAAGTGCCTGGAAGATCTAGCAAAGCCTTGTGCTCAGCACGTACAACAACAATCTTTGGGACGGAGAAAGCAACAGTTGATACGGAGTGTTGAGGCTTAAAGAAAACAACCATACATACCCTATGCCCCACTAAACACAAATATATTTTTTAACTTTGCTCATTAATGCTCGCAAAAATCCTGCAAGTCATAATGTACAGTAGGTCCTATCTTAGGAGCATGAGTTTTAGATTCAGATAGCCCGGGGTTAGACTCCTAGCTCCATCATGTGCAAACTTTGTAACCTTAAGCAAGTTTCTTAAGGTTTGTTTCCTCATTACATCATTAACATGAAAATATACCTCATGCTTTACACAAGGATAAATTTCAACTGGAAGCAAGATGCAATTATTAAAAGCTGAAACTTTAAGATCTCCTAGAAAAATCTATGCAAAGACTTTAAAAAAATTATCTAAGCTGTTAAAGCCTTTCTGAAAGATTATACGAAGCCTAGAAGCTAAAAAAGAACATTTTTCATTTTGCCAAACAAACCTTTTAAAACTGAGCATGGCAAAACTCACAATTAGCAAAGTCACAAGTCATATATGACAAATGGAGAACATATATGGGCAACTCATGCCACAGGCAAAGAGCTAATTTCCCCTATGGGGAGCCCTACACACATCTCTGAAACAAAAAGATCAACCTTACAGAAAAAAAAAGGACAAAGACTATAGAAAGTGAAACAGAAAAGGCTCTTAAATATATGAAAATAGCTCAACCTCACTTATGACATTAAGAAAAAGTCAAATCCCAACCAATTTTTCACTTTTTTCGATTGGCAAAGACGGCAAAGTTTTATAGTACCGTGTTGGTGAGTGACCTGGCCCCAAGCACGTCACACACGCCGGTGGGAGGGCATCCGGGTGCTACAGGGAGGACACTTCCACGGTATCTCCAAAAATGACAAATCCACATTTTCTCTGACCAGAAATTCTACTTTTAGGAATTTATTCTCAGAGAGACCCATATAAATACTAAATGGCATACATTTATAATACTACTCAAAGCAGCATTATTTGTAATATCAAAAAATAGACATAACCTACACTTCCATCATTTGGGATTAGTTATATAAATTATAGTACATTCACTCAAAGGGATACAAGGCACCAGTAAAAAAAAAAAAAAAAAAAAATCTTTTACATGTAGTGAATTGAATAATCATTAAGATATAATAAGAAAATGTATACATGTTATATTACTGATTATATAAAAAAGAAGAATATATTTGCTTTTATAAGCATAAAATGTCTCTAGAAGAATACACTAATAACTGGTAAAATTAGTTGCTTCATGTAAGAATGTTGAGAATCAGAGGAGAGAGAGGCTTCACTGACACTAATTTACTAATATATCTTTTAAAACAGAACTATGGGGCCGGGCACAGTGGCTCACACCTGTAATCTCGGCACTCTGGGAGGCCGAGGCGGGAGGTTTGCTTGAGGCCAGGAGTTCAAGACCTGCCTGGGCAATATAGTGAGACCCTGTCTCTACAAAAGAAAATTAAAAAATCAGCTGGGCATGGTGGTGTGCACCTGTAGTCCCAGCTACTTGGAAGGCTGAGGCAGGAGGATTGCTAGAGCCCAGGAGTGTAAGGCTGCAGTGAGCTATGCTCACGCCACTGTACTCTAGGCTGGGTGTCAGAGCAAGACCATGTCTCTTTAAAAAAAAAAAAAACAAAACAAAAAGGCTGAAAGGGGAATTATTTACTTATTAAAAGTGTTTTATATAACATAAAACCAAACTATTACTACCCCTTCTCAGGACTGCTGTAATGGTAAAGTCATAAAACATATGTAAAGCCCTGAGCACAGCACCAATGCTCACTTATCACCATTTTAAAAGAGGGAAGAGAAGTTCAGCAACACCAGCCTGGGCAAAGTCACTGGTAGAAACATCACCTAACTCCAGTGCTCTGATCCTAAGTCTGCCCCTACCAGCCTACCACAGGCATGCATTTGTCTTGGGAGACCAGAACCTGACAAAGACATCCTCTGCAGCCTCCATGCCCACAGACTTCTTCTTTGGACACAAGTCATAGCCTCTGGCTAGCATTAGACACATATGCAGCCCAGAATCTGTTAGATCAAGGACTAACACAAAACGATGTCTGCTCCACTGCTCAGCCCTTTACTAAAACCCAGCCTGGGTCTACCTTGCCCTGCTTTACTGAGCTGGGGAGAGGGGTTGATATCTATGGCGGTCACCAAGCTGTGTGCCTTCCGGTCTTACTCCAAAGAACCTAAGCCAGGCCCAGGTCACAGTTAGAAAAAGATGAAACCATTACAACGGCCCTGAAAGGTCATCTAGTCCAACGGCCTCACTGCACAGACTAGAAACCCAGGCTCGAAGAGAGCGGGGGTGAGTTACACAGCTGGGAAAGGGGGGGCCTTCTGAGGCAGACTCGGACCAGACTTTGGGTCTCCTAAATCCAGGCCAGTGCTTAGGTTTGAGGTTTCTGCTATGCTATCTTCCTTTTCTCTTGAAAATACCAGCTTCTTTACCTGTAGGACAAATTTTACTTGTCAAATGCATGATTCCTACTCTCAGGTCCAGCCCCTTTGTCTGTTCTAGAGTGGGATGGAGGCGAAGCAGGCAAGACGGCAGAACGTGGTACCACTCTGCCTGGGGGGCAGTGGACAGGAGCTCAGGCTCTGGAGGCAGGCAGCCCTGGGCTCACAAGCGAGCTCTGTGATACTGGGCAATGTTCTTCTTTGAGCCTGAGTCCCCTGACAGAAAAGGGAGGGGGGATAATGGAGCTGTTAAAAGGGCTCAGTGAAGTAATGAGGAAGCATCCCAGGGCATGCTGGGAAAAAAAAAAAAAAGAGCGACTGCTTTATCGATTATCTTCATGAGCACCAGAGGGATGAAACTTACAGCGCTTAGGGAGCCTTTCCAGTCTTGAGATTTCAATTTGGCTAAGACTAGTCAGAGAACGTGGCCTAACTGCACACTAACAAGGCCGCTGCAAGGAGGAAGCCTTTTGTGAGGCCTGGCCAAGGAAACCCTTCCCCTTGCTCCCCGGTCTAGGCAGGGTGTATGAATCCACGTCCTCACAGTGCCTGGCACATAGTAGGAACTCAGTAGCTGTTGACTGTGCAAATGAGAATGTACCGGTAAGACATTGGTTCTCGGTGGGGCAGGATTCCAAGGCCACTGAAGGTTCATTCCCAAGGAAGCAGCACCGTAATCCCACAGATTAACTAAAGACCACAATGTCTCATAGCAACTTGGCAAGAGGAAGGCTCAGGGAACAAGGAACTGTTGTGAGGGGACAGAAAGAGGAGGCAGGGCAGCAGAGTCCAAATCCTGGCTCTGCCCAGGCCAGGCCAGTGAGAGCACGGCCCATTCTGTACCCTGGTTTTCTCAAGCATCAGGTACAGGGAAGGGGTCACCACCTGTTGTATAACTTACCAAATACCTGAAAATTCAAATATGAATAACTGTGAAATTACCTCTAAAAGCATCTCAACACGTGGAAGCTGTCCCTACTGCTTTTTTTTTTTTTTAATAACAAACATGTTCCACATTGAAGGAAGGGATGTCAGCGTGGGACCTCACCTAGTGTCTTGGTTTTAAATACCAACGATTTGCTGAGGACTCTCAAAGTGACACCTCCAGCCCTGAGCCTGCCCCTCTACTCTTTATTACCAGTCTTGAGCATCTCAATAAATGGCAAATCCATTCCCCTACATGCTTAGGCCAAAAACCTTGGGAGTCACCCTTAACTCCTCTCTCTCTTATGTCTACAGTCAAATCATCAGCACATCTCATCTGCTCTACTTTCAGGATGTATCCTGAATGCAACCACCTCCCACCACTCCCACTACCACATGCCAGTCCTAGCTACTATGATCTCTTGGCTCCATGACGAGGGCCCCTAATGGTCTCCACACTCCCATCCTTGTTCTCCAGACTTTCAGACAGAAGCCAGAGAGATGACTTCCCACTTCGCTGAGAGTAAAAATCAAAGTCTTTAAAATGGCCTCGGACAGCTAGATGGGAGGCCCTGCGAGCCCTCAGCCCTCCTCTCCTCACTGCTTGGTCCAGTCCACCCCGCCCAGCCTCATCACTACTCTACCCTAACACCAGGCACACTCCCACCACAGGGGCACTGCTCCCTCTACCTGGAGGGCTGCCTCAGATCGCAGCACATCTAGCTCCCTCACTTTCTTCGGGATATTTTCATGCCAAATATCATCTTTTCAGTGAGTCTTTTCCTGGCTCTTTGTAAAACTGTTCATTTGTAAAATGGGGATAACTGCACCTCTGTCATCCACAGGAGTTGTGACAGTCCAGTGTGACTCGGGAGGACTGCTAAGCTCCCAGCCTGTCCTCCCTGGAAGTCCCTCCTCCCACCATGCCTGCTTTCCTCCCTAGGACAGTAACATAGTCAGCAGGAGGGGCCACCTCTCACCAGTCTTGAGGAGTGCTATCCTCTTTCTCCCACTGCAGGTTAGGGGACAATGCTCCTCCCTCCTGCAACTGTTGCACAGTTCAAGGAACCCCAGCACATCTAGATTTGCCGAGCTTTTGAAAGTGGACGCAGCTCTGGGCACTGCCCTACCGCCCTAAGTCTGCATCAGACTGGCAACTCCTCCTGCACGTCCGCACAGCCAGTCTCGCCAGGCATCAGCTCTTTTGTTCTTCACATCACTGAGGCAGGCTGCCTGCTCCTCCCGTGCACCACCGCTGTCTAGAAACGCTGGTCACAGAAGGGGAGAGTGCAAAGACTCAGCTCTGGAATCAGCCTGGTTTCCTTATGCGTAAAACAGGAAAAAGGAAACCCACCCCTATACTTTGCTGGGCTAGAATGTGAGCCATTCTGAGAGAAGGCCCAATGGAGCACACGGCAGCTTTGCTCCTGGCTCCCCCCGTCCTGAGACATTGGAGAGGGGCCCACCTGGTTTCGCTGACGCCCCATCAGCAGCACGCAGAGGACATAGAGCACTTCCAGTTTATACATGATCTCGTGCATAATCTTCATTGACTGGGGCAGCTGGGTCCTAGTTGAAGTGTGAGGCAGACCATTCTCTTCCGAAGCCCCTGGAGGAGGGAACACGATGGAGGCTGACACAGCAGCCACCGGAAGAGAAGTTTGAGTTACGGCTTGTGAGGAAACGTATTTCTGCCCATCAAACCTGTTGTCAACAGACTTGAGGTAACAGTGCCATCAGGCTGGGCCCTGAGCCTGCGACAGAACTCTCAAAGCGGTAAAACTCCTTCCAAACCCCCAGGAGCCAGGCAAGCTTAGAAACCAACTTCAACATAAAGTAAAACTGTTCTGACACAGCCAATACAGTAACATAATCCGTGCCCTCCCCGCTTATTCCTGTCTCCTGCCGCCAACCAGCCCCCAGGGAGTGCCCAGACAGATGTCTGACAGCAAATTGTGTGGAACTCTCTCCAGGTCACAACTGACTCTGATTACCTGATCATCCTGCCTAGATTCTGTGAGGGGACACTGTTGAAAGCCTGAGAGGGATCCTTTTTGAAGAATTTTTCTCCGGTTTTCAAAGAAGAACCTAAAGTTTTCTAAGGTTCAACTTCTAAAGCAGACTGGGTGTCACGATTGACACTAGTGATGCAGACGAATGCAGTATCTGTTAGCAGATTTTCGTCTTACCCAGTCTCATTATTACCAACAGCAGCAGGTAAGTAACATTCATGGGACACTTGACGTGTGTCAGGCATCGTACTTTGAGCTTTATGTAACCCATCTCCTTTATCACCCAGTTAATGAAAAAGTCCCTGTGGGCCATTCAGGCCACAGTAAAGTGTGCTCCTGGGAAGGCGGGAGAGCAAAGCAATGATGACTGAGGGCTCTGGAATGAAGACTTGCTGGCTGTGTGACCCTGGGCAAGTCACCTATCACTAGGCCTCAGACTGCTCTCTGCTACTGCAGTGGATGGCCAGGGTTACAGGTCACTGAGAATACTGAATGGGACACAAGGAAAGCCCAGCACTTGATACTTAGGATGCCTCGATCACTACTAGGTCCCTATTATTTTAAGAGGGCACTGGTCAGAATCAGGAGAGGCTGATTCTGGTGACCTTAGGAGAGTGACTTCTCCTCAAGTTTCCTCATCTTTGAGGTGGAAGCATGAATCAGTAGCTGTAAGGTCCTCTCAAGCTCCTACTGGAACTGTTTACCTGGAGGCCTTCTGCAAAGAATAGAACTATGTGGTACAGAGGAGTGGTTATGAGATACATGCAGGTAAGGCCTGCCCAGAAGACACGGTGATTTCTGTAGGGTATCATGACATAAGAACCTAACTTATTCCACCCTACAGACTTGGAACTATCTTTTTCCAGTCATGTCATATCACTAATATAAAATCACAACCCTGAAAGAAGACAAGCGGCCGAATGAAGTGTGACAGAAAGGTGGCGTGGCACAGTGGTTAAGAGCACAGACCCTGAAGCCAGACTGTTAGGTTGGAAGGCCATTCACTAGCTGAGTGACCTTGGGTAAATTAGTTGACTTCTCTGTGCTTCGGTATCCATCCTCATCTGTAAGGCAGTGATAATGACAATAGTACCTATGTCTCAATGTTGTGAGGATTAGAGGAATATACAGAACAATGCCCAGCACATGTAAACAACATGTATGTTAAACAGAAGTAAAAAACTAAGTTTTTCTGCTATAATGCATGCTTGCTACTTGGTTTTCTTCTTTTTAATCTGCAAGTTCTTAATGGCAACTAAAGTGGCAGTGGGTAAAGACTTAGGAAAAACTTACTGGGGAAAATCTAATTAAGAAAATTCTATCTATTCACATATTTTCCTGCACCTTGGGAGAAAAAATATAATTACTTAATTTCCACATTGGGACTCCTTGGCCTAGCTCCCAGAACAGTTAAGAGTCAACTGATTTGTGGAGCGAATTGGAAGAACTATGATGCAGAATCCCACCTCTGCCATCCACTTGCTGTGTGACCACCCGTACCTCGGTGTCCTCAGCACCTAGCTCACGGGGCCTCTAGGGAGGACGGTAGGAGGGGATATCTACAGAAGGGGCAGGTGCAGGGTGTGGCACACAAGCCCTCTCAGTAATGAGCATCTGTGGAGAAGGAGACACAGGCAGTTCGACTCTTCCCCAAGTCACTGCCAACTTTTGGTGTCTGGCTTGCACAGGCCTGACAAACTCTCTGGGATAAATATTTTCAAGAAATATCCAAAGCAATGCCCAGAGCTTAGCAACAAGGTCATTCCTAAGGATGAGGATGTGAAAACTAGCTCAAGAGGCCCGTGCTTCCCTCCACGTCTCTTCAGCTCTACGTTAACTGATGAGTGTGGTCACCACTCTCTGTCTGCCTGCACTGCACTCTGCTTTCTGGGGCTGGGTCCGTACTCATTCTTCTGTTAAAAAACAGCTTTGAGCTACAATTCACACACCAGGCAACTCACCCATTTAATCACGGAAAGGCAGCGGTTTTTAGTTTATTTACAGAGTTGTGCAGCCATCACCCCCAAAAGAAACCTTGTACTCGTTGGCAGTCATTCCCTACTTCTTACCAAACCCCTCAGCCCTAGGCAACCACTAAACTACTCTCTGTCTCTATGGAACTGCCTATTCAGGACACTTCACATAAATGAGCTTATAGAATACATGGCCTTTGAGGCTGTTTCTTTCACCTAGTACGATGTTTTCGGGGTTTCTCCATGTTGTAGCCTGTATTGGCATTTCATTTTTAATTGCTAAATAATATTCTATTGTATCAATATACCACATTCTGTTTATTCATTAATCACCTGATGGACATTTGGGTTGTTTCCATATTATGGCTAATATGAATATGCCACAACGAACATTCATGAACAAGTTTTTGTGTAAACTATACATTTTCACTTCTCTTGGGTATATACCTAAGGAGTAGAATTTCTAGGCCATATGGTAACTTTTGAGGAACTGCCAGACTATTTTCCAAAGTGGCTGCACCATTTCACATGCCCACTAACAGTGAATAAGGGTTCTGATTTCTCCACATCCTTGCCAACACTTGTTATTATCTGTCTTTTCAATGATAACCATTCTACTGAGTATGAAGTGGTATATCTCATTGTGGTTTTGATTTGCATTTCCCTGACAGCTAATGATGCTGAGCATCTTTCATGTCCTTATTGAAGATTTGTATCTTCTTCAGAGAAATGTCTATTCAGACCCTTTGCCCATATTTGAAATGGGTTGTTTCCTTTTTTTTTTTATTTCAGCATATTATGGGGGTACAGATGTTTAGGTTACACATGTTGCCCTTGCCCCCCCTCCCCCGCTAAGTCCGAGTTTCAAATATGTCCATCCTTCAGGTGGTGCGCATGGGTTGTTTCCTTTTATTATCAAGCTATAGGCATTCTTTATATTTTCTAGATACAAGTCCCTTAGTAGTTACACGGCTTGCAAAAACGTCTGCCCCTCCCACCGCCAAAAAGTTTTCCCATTCTGTGGGTTCCCTTTTAACTTTCTTGCTGATGTTTTCTGAAGCACAAAAGGTTTTAATTTTGAAAAAGCCTAATTTAACTATTATTAATTTGACTGCTTGTGCTTTAGATGTCACGTCTATGAAACCATTGTCAAATCCAAGGTCATGATTTATCCTTAGGTTTTCTTCTAAGGGTTTTAGAGGTTTAGCTCTTACATTTAAGTCTTTGATCCTTTTGAGTTAATTTTTGTATATGATATAAGGTAGGAGATCTAATTCTTTCTTTTGCATGTGAATATCCAATGGTCCCAGCACCATTTGTTGAAAACACTATTGTTTCCCCAACTCAATGGTCTTGGTACCCACTGAAAATCAACTAATCATATGCATGAGCGTTTATTTCTGAATTCTCAATAACATTCCATTGATCTATATGTCTGTCTTACCTTAGGCCAGTAGCACAGTATCTTGATTATTGTAGCTTTATATTATAGAGTTTTCAAATCGGGGAGTGTGTTTTCAAGATCATCTTTGCTATTCTGCATCCCTTGCATTTCCATATGAATTTTAGGATCAGTTAGTCCATTTCTGCAAAGTCAGCTGGGATTTTCAATAGGGACTGTGTTGAATCTGCAGATTGGTCTGCAGATCAAGATGGGGAACATTACTGTCTTAATATTAATCTTTCAATTCAAGGACATAGGATGGCTGTATATTTATTTAGGTCTTCTTTAATTTCTTTCAATGATGTTTTGTAATTTTCAGAGTATTATACAATTCTTGTTCCATTTATTCCTAAGTATTTTGATCTTTTTGGTGCTACTATAAATGAAATTGTAATTTCATTTTTGGTTTGTTGATTGCTACCATTTATTTACTTTAAAGCCAGTCAAATTTAGGATTGAGGGGTTGTATACCAACTTTAGTGACACTAACTTTAATAAGTTCCAATAACCCACTATCATCAGAGCAGCATACGATTTTTAAATATTAATCTTGTATCCTGAAACTTTTAACTCATTTATTAGTTTAGTGGTTTTTTAGTGGATTCCTTAGGTTTCTCTATATACAAGATCATGTCGTCTGTGAATAGAGATAGTTTTACTTCTTCCTTTCTAATCTGGATGCCTTTCATTTTTTTGCCTAAGCACACTAGCTAGAACCTCCAGTACAATGCTGAATAGAAGTGGCAAGAGCATACATACTTGTCTTGTTCCTGGTCTTAGTGCTGGGAAGCTTTCATTTTTTTGCTGTCAGGTACAATGTCAGCTGTTTTTTTTTTTGGTAGATACCCCCCGCCTCTTTTTTTTTTTTTTTTAAGACAGAGTCTCACTCTGTTGCCCTGGCTAGGCTACAGTGGCATCATCATAGCTCACTGTAACCTCAAACTTCTGGGCTCAAGAGATCCTCCTGCCTCAGACTCTTAAGTAGCTGGTACTCCAGGCGCATGCCACCACACCCAGTTAATTTTTCTATTTTTTATAGAGACAAGGTCTCAAACTCCTGGCCTCAAGTAATCCTCCCGACTCAGCCTCCCAGAGTGCTGGGATTATAGGTGTGAGCCACTAATGCCCGGCCTGTAGATGCCCTTTAACAGGTTGAGGAAGTTTGCTTCTATGCCAAGTTTGGTGAGTGTTTTTATTATGAAGGAGTGTTGGATTTTGTCAAATGCTTTTTCTTCATCTAGTGAAATGATCACATGGTTTTT